AAAGGCCAGCCCCTAGTAGCGTCCTTGCTCCTAGTAGCGATGCCAGGTGCCCCTAATAGCGTCCTTGCTGCTAGTAGTCAGGCCAGGAGTCCTTGCTCCTAGTAGTGAGCCCCTAGTAGCGTCCTTGCTCCTAGTAGCGATGTCAGGAGCCCCTAGTAGCGTCCTTGCTCCTAGTAGCGATGCCAGGAGCCCCTAGTAGCGTCCTTGCTCCTAGTAGTAAGGCCGGGAGCCCCTAGTAGCGTCCTTGCTCCTAGTAGTAAGGCCAGGAGCCCCTAGTAGCCGCGTCCTTGCTCCTAGTAGTAAGGCCAGGAGCCCCTAGTAGCCGCATCCTTGCTCCTAGTAGTAAGGCCAGGAGCCTCTAGTAGCTTCTTGTTACTAGTAGTAATTTTTTAGTAATTGTTCACAATCAAGGCAAAAACCAGCGGTTTCAAAAGGGATGTCTGCACCAAAACAATGTCGTATGGGAGCTTCTCCCTAATTACCCCTTCATGGGCCAGCCCCCTTTTGATTCGCGCAATTTTTTTTTGCCGTCACTTTTCTGTGGACTGTTGTGCTGATGAATGCATGCATGCATGCATGCACAAAAGGGAAACAACCTCTGGGTCTGAGCACCTCTGTCACCTCCAAAATTCATGACAAATCATACCATGCAGAATCAAGTTTGCCTTCAACAACCATTTCCCAGGAGCTTAATATTTTTGTCCAAAATGGGCAGAGCTCTTAGTTGGCACAAAACTGTGGACAGGACCTGCGCAAACCACCGGCGAGATCCGGCGAGCACATTTCTTACATATCGGCACATGCCCTTCAATGCACACAGCATGTTGTTCTGGTCGTTCTTGTGAAAGCCAACTCAGTTCTGCAACTTCTTGCTCAGCCAATTTCCGGCAAGCTGGCCCGCATAGCCTTCGGGAATGCCTGTCCTGGCCTGCAACAGCAGTTGCCTCAGGTGGCCTGTTCAACGCTGGGCAAGGTGTGGACAATTGGAGTCACCTTCTTCCACGATTGACAAAATGTCATATACGTTTTGCAAGTCAGCCGGCATGCCCTCTATGTTCAGCCCACAAGAATTCAGGATCACTAGGCGACGCCATCAAGAAATCAGCCATAGTGCGCCCTCCAGGACCTTTCCCAACCCCAACTTCCCAACACTTCCTTTCAGGAAAATGGGGGGGGCCATTTCAAGTTTGACGGGGTGGCCACCAGGGCGTGCTTGATAGCAGCCACGTATCCAAAAACATGTTTGGCAAAAAACATTGCATTTCACAAGCGCCTGACACACACTTGGTTCCTGCAAACCTTGTACCTTTGCCCAGGCCTTGGCCAACACTTGCGAAAGCAACTCTGGGTAGCATTGAGAGATATTGAGAGCGGGGCAGCTGCAAAAAAATGAGACGTATCCTTGAAACATGGATTGATCCTAAGGTCGGTCTCTGTTTATCATCAAGCAATCCCCAGAGCTCAGGGCGACTGCTCCCCAAACTTCATCAAACCCGCCCTCTCAAAAGACATCCTAGGCTGCCCCCCTTCTATCCTGCTGCGCATGTTGTGCCATCTCCGCCAGGCTAGCTGCCGCCTCGCAAGCGCCACGAACGCCCAACAAAGAGGCGCAATGGCGACAGGCCTGCGAGTGCTGGAGGAGTGCTCCGGTAATGGAACATGTTTTGTTTTCTCACAGTTTTACATTTCCGAACTATTGTTTGCTTTGGTTACTGGTTGATCAGGTTCATCACAATGGGGTACATGATAGCTTGTTTACGGAAAATCATGTAATTCAAGAGTATATCCACAAAGGATCGATTCGAACTCGCGCAAGAGATTCTGTGAACTTCAGTGTGATTCTATGTGAACATCTGTTGCTACGTTTGTCGTTCAAGTAGGCTAGACAGTCTAAGCCTTCTTCCAGGATCTTCACAACTTTCCTCGCGCTTGGGGCTCATGGCCCGTGGCCACAAGTTGCCCGTCGTCACAGAACAAAGCCCTCACTGCAGGTTTTGACTTCAACATGTTTTGATCACTAACCGCCCTACTAGGAACAAGAAGCTACTAGGAGCAAAGGGCATCGCTACTAGGAGCAAGGACGCTACTAGTAGCTCCTGGCCGTACTACTAGGAACAAGAAGCTACTAGGAACAAACCTTCTGTGACTATGAGTTCTACCTTCTTGCTCGTGTAGCGATGCCCTTTGCTCCTAGTAGCTTCTTGTTCCTAGTAGTAAGGCCAGCAGCTACTAGTAGCGTCCTTGCTCCTAGCCTCAACAGCAAGATCAGGGAGTGGCGCGCAAATACACGTGACCACTTGAAAGAACTCGGACGGCTGGCGGCTAGCACCTTTGGTTGAAAGATTCCCCGGCTGTTTTGCCATGGCAACCTATTTTCATCTTACAATCCAACTGCAAACGGAACAAAAATACAACTTTCTATTGTAAAACATAGTACTTTGTAGATGCGCTGTAAAATGCTAAAAAGCCGAAATGCTGTACCGGTTACCAAAACGTCCATCGCATTGGAAGAAAGTGCGTGTTCGCATGGGGTTTGTTGCAGGCCACGTGACCTTGTTTTTGCTGCCCTTTTTTCCCCAACTCGCCTCATCAAAAGCGGCCACTTGAGCACCTTCTGGACTGCCCTGGTGGAATGGTGTCTGGACACGCTTCCAGAGTGTATTACATGTTCTGTTTGACAATCAATGCTTACCGACGTAGTTTTCAAGATTCATTTGCAGGCAAAGCAGCCAACGTGTGCGCAGTTTGAGCCATCTATACACCTGGAAGCATTCTTATCCAGGCAGAACAAAGAACCCGGTGGTTTCTTAGAGCCTCCGTCTTGAAGTAGTGGGCTCCACTGAGGAAGAGGTCCAAAGGAACCTCAGATCTCGAAGCTCTTCAATGAACAAGCGCATCGCTACTAGTAGCTTCTTGTTACTGGTAGTAATGCCCTTCCTACTAGTAGCGACGCACCTCTTACTAGTAGCTTCTTCAATTGACAACATAAACGGTAATCATCAGGTCTGTCTGTGGCCTAAATTCCATGAGTAGCTGCGCTCTGGAGTAATCGGGAGTCTGGTTAGTGATTTCAACTCACTTGAAACACATTCTTCAGTGGGTTCAATCATCGCAAGTAAAACTTGAAAATCTGAATATCTGAAACGACCAGGCAGGAGTATGTTTGTGCTTGTTATACTCTGACGATGAAATGCAACTTTCTATGTCAAGCGCCAACACCACCTGGCTCCAAAATGCCTCAAGATCCAAGTGTAGACCGCCTTGCTTGCCTCCATTGCTTTTTGCCATGTGTCTCCAGTATAAATGTGCATACATGAAACCAGTCCCAAAAAGCAGTCACCGAGCAACTCCGGGGAGCTTCTCGAACTCCGGCATGGAGCGTAGCATCGACTCCTTGCACCAGTGGTGGGAACCTTCGCCTTGATTCTTCCTCCCAAACCAATCAAGAAATGGGGGACTTCTTTATACTTCCTTTGCCAACGTTCAACGTTGCCTGATTGTTCGTTCCATTCTGTTCCATTCCTCATTTACCCAAACCATCACTTCGGCGTGAAGCAACGCGCCAAAAAAGAACGCTCCTCCACTCGTTCTCGCCATTGTGGTTGACTGGCCGCAGTCAACTGGCAACACTGTTGAACAGACTGGGCTGACCGGGGTCCCTTCAATACAAGCGATACCGAGCGACACTGCAACCGGATCAGTCTTGATGCCAAAGCGCCAAAGCCTCTGAGATTTGGGGATTAGATCCCCACACTTCTCTTCTAGTTGCCATTCAAAAGAACGGACATCAAAGTAACATGAGAAAATGTTGAGATTGTTCAGAGTTCTTGCCCCGGGCTCAGTGGTTGTGGTAGCTTCCTCAGTTAATTACAACCTCGTCAGACTCCAGGCTTCAGGCAGGATGACCTACGTCAGCATCACTCTTGGATTGAAAGGTTGGTCAATGATTGAACAACCTTTCTATACAATGCCTAACCTTAGTTCTGCAGCACCTAAACGCCGATTGAGAAGCTTCTCATCTCAAGTTCCGGGAGCCGCTTGCCATTCACTTCGCCTGGCCTGAGCCTCCCAGAAGTTCTCCCAGGCACTTCGGCACCGCTGCGCAGCCTCCTGCAGGCGAAGGTCTTGGTAATGATAGTCTTGGGGTAGAAAGAGCAGAGGAGACCGTCTGTATTTATGTCCCACATGTTCCGACCAATCACGATGTAGACCTATAGACTAAACAACTTCAAAATGAAAAAGGAACTCGGCAACTCCGAGTCCAAATATTCTTTACTGTAATTCAGGTGATTTCCTCAAGAACTTCTCCAGAACTTCTTCCTCCTTACCCCAGAGTGCACTCTGCCCCCCATCAACCCAGTCCTGGCAATCCTTCGCACTTGCGTGGCTAGAACCTGAGCCTAGCCAGCTGGCAGATGGTACCTGTCAACATGAGAGCAGGTGGCCAGCAGCGCCCACAAGTGGACAACTGCCGGTGAATGGATATTGTTGACTTCGAGTTGGTTTCACACCCCAAAAAAACAGAAACAAACTTGGAAAACATTGCCATCCATGGGACATCTTCTCTCGGAATTGGAGTTGTTTTTTTGGGCAACCTCACAGAGTTGTCAAGGGGGTGACAAAAAGGAGGGCAAACAAGAAAACAACCAACCTGCATCATCCTGGCCATATCATGCCGTCCCTCTTTGACAGCCCCGGCAGGACATTCGAGGAACTCGTGATAAACAACTATATGTCACCTTTCGGAACCCTCTCTCTTCTTACCCATCCATCAAGCGAACATGATTTCGACAATGGGGAATGAACCAAATTTAAATCCCACACATTATGGCCCAACCATCAAGCTAGCGATCTCCCGATCATCTCACTCCCCGGCCTCCGGCACTTCGTCCCCGGCCAGGTGCCGCAGCCGCGAGGCGCTGGAGCGAAGCGCGTGCGCAGCGCTCACCGCAGCGCTCCGGAGGAGCTCCCCTTGGGCACCTGAAGGAAGTGGATCATCCAATGAAAAACATGATTCAAACAAAGGGATGCAAACAAAATCGCGGCAAGAGACCCCAGACAGTGTGTCTAAAGGTTTGAAGTCTGGAGGTGTAGAATCTGAAGGTCTAAAGATGTAGACGCCTTGGGTTCCAAAGAGAGGTGATGGTAACGATCTGATGGTGGTGATGTTGATGGTGGTGATGGTGGTGGCGGCTGCGGTGATGGTGATGATGTTGTTGTTGTTGGTGGTGGTGGTGGTGCTGGTGCTGGTGATGGCGATGGTGGTGATGGTGGTGGTGGCGGCGGCGGTGTCGGAGGTCCAAAGGTGGAGAGAGCTGTCCAGGGATCTAGGGGTGGAGGTCTAGAGAGCACGCGTTTGAAAGGACATGTAACATGTAAAAGCACACGCTCGAGCGCACGTCATATGAGAGCACATTTGCTGCACCTCCCTCGAAATCTGCACGCCAGGTTCACAAAGTGCTGCTCCTGCTCCAAACGTCAATGTTCAAAGTCCAAAAAGTATTCCACCTGCGACGAACTCTGCGCTTCAAGGTTCACAAAGTGCTACCCGTGCGCCACATCTGCGGCTCAAGGTCTTCAAGGTCCACAAAGCACTGTGCCTGCCACGAAATCTGCTGCACCTCAAGGTCCACAAAGTGCTGCCCCTGTCACGAAGCCCACGCTCCAAGGTCTACAAACTACTGTGCCTGCCACGAAGTCTGCACTTCAAAGTTCGCATCACGCAGCCCTGCCAGGGGGCTCGCAGCAAGAGCATTTGCAAAGATAACATCAAGATGCACCTGCCAGGACATCAGGGCACGCCGAAGACCACCGTCATGTCCAAAGTATTGCACGTGCCACGAAATCTGTACGATCTCCTGCACCTGCACAAGAAAAGTCGTCTTTGGACCGCCAAAGCACGAGGCTTCCCTTGCGCCTGCCACTGCAAGTGATCACCCTAGGCGGATGGCCCCTCATTTGCGCACACATAATTCCCCTCAAATCCGCACACAGACTTTTTTATATATTTAACTCAAGTGCGCACACATGATTCGCCTCATCTGCGCACACATCGATTACATTCCTCTTTAAACAGCCCATGTTACCCCAAACTCAAATGCGCACACATGATTCGCCTCATTTGCGCACACACAAATTGAGTCATGATGATCTCTTTTTGCTCATTGCTTCGTTTGATTGATGATGTGTTAATAACGTCCCTCTGGACATTCATCTACATGATGATCTCTTTTTGCTCATTGCTTCCACAGGT